CTGTGATGGCCCCGAGGGGCAGATGAGGTTATGGGGGGAGGTGGGACTGAGCTGGCCCTGGGGGGACTTGAGCCTCATTCCCAGGCTGTGCCCCGGGCTGGGGAGTCAGAGATGCTCCCCCCATAACCCCCCCCCCCTTCCCTTGCAGGACAAGCACTGGCTGGTGAGACAGGCCAGAAGTCCCATGGCCAACACGTCCATCGAGTTCCTGGACAAGGCCTACAGGGAGAGGTGAGGGGCTGCACCCCGCGGCGGGGTCAAAGGGAGCCCAGTGCAGCACAGGTCAGAGCCAGAGGCAGCTGAGCTGGCTGGGAGGGGGCAGAGTTGGGAGACTCATTGGGGGAAGGGACTGGGAGGGTTATAGAGGGCTTGGGTGGGGGTCAGGAGATGGCCCAGGTTTCCGCCCAGGGATGGGTGACCCCGCCTGGCTTGTCGGGGGGAGGGTGAGGATTTATGGAAGAGACTGCATTAGTCTGATCTGGGACGGGCGGGGGGGGTACCAGCCGGGGGGGAGGGGAGGGAGTGTATGGGTCTGGGCTGGGATGGGCAGGGCTGGGATATCTGGCGGGAGGACACGGGTCTGGGCTGGTCAGAGATTGGTGCCCTCTAAGGGCAGAGGGACCCATGGTGGTGGTTTTGCCCCGGGGGGGCAGTGCTGGCTGGCGGCCGGAGGGGGAGGGATCCCGGCCTGGGGTGCAGCAGCCCGTGTGGGAACAGGTCCCTGGCTGGGGGCTGGGGCCTTTAACCCCCGTGTGCCTGCAGGTGGCAGACTCTGCTCTCTGTGGACGACCTGGTGGAGAAGGTGGTGGGCCGACTAAAGGCGCTGGACCTGCTGGCCAGCACCTACGTCTTCTACACCTCGGACAATGGCTACCATGCAGGTGAGCCCCTGGCCACCCCTCTGCAGGGTAGCGCCACGCCCGGGCTCCCTCCAGCACGGCCTGGCCTTGGACCCAGGCTGGGGGCCCTGGAGCCGGGCCTGTGGGCTCAGCACAGAGGGGCTCCGGTTTTAGGGGTCGCTGATTCCATCCCCGGAGCCCAGTGCCACACCAGTGCCAGGGCAGCTGAGCCCTTGGTCCTGGTGGGTGGGGTCCCCCCGCGGGGTCCCTGCAGGCAGTGCGGGAGGGGGCTGCCTAGGTGGGTGCTGGTGCTGACCCCTACCCTCCCCGCAGGCCAGTTCTCGCTGCCCATCGATAAACGCCAGCTGTACGAGTTTGACATCCGGGTGCCGCTGCTGGTGCGGGGGCCGGGCATCAAAGCGAACCAGACCCGACTGGTAGGTGACCCCCTCCCAGTGGGCAATGCTGCCACCGAGGCTCATGGGAATTCTGGGTTCCTGTGCCCTTTGGGGGTCCTTTATGTGCCCAGGGAGTGGCAGAGTCCCCTCCCTGTCCGCACAGCCCTGCCCTCCTCAGGAACCAGGACGCCTGGGTCCTGTCGGCTCTGCTCTGGGTTAGCCCCTGCTCGTCAAGGCCAGCTGGAGCTGGGCTGGGTGGGAGCTGGGTGGGCGGGCGTGCTGGAGCCAGAGCAGGGACCAGGCCAGGGCCCGCCCTCCCCCCACCAGCCCCAGGACTCATGGTGATTTGTGCCCCTCTCCCCTGCCCAGGAGCCGATCCTTAATATTGACCTGGGGCCCACATTCCTGGACATCGCTGGCCTCAACGTCTCGCAGACCGCCATGGACGGGCAGTCCTTCCTGCCGCTGCTGGTGACACTGCCCAGGGCGCCGGGCGCGTGGGGGGCAGGGGCAAACCTGTGGGGGAGCTCCCAGTGACCCTAGCCCAGGCCTCTCCCAGCAGAGGGCGCTGTGAGGAGCGGAGAAGCCGCTGGCTTGGGGAGCTCCCAGCAACCCCAGCGGGGGCACTGTGGGGAGCGGGGCTGGAGCACTGCCTGGGGGGAGCTTCTGGTGACCCCAGCTCTGGCCTCTCCCAGCAAGGGGCGCTGTGGGGAGCGGGGCAGCCTCTGGCTGAGTGGGGCTCCATGCAGGGGGGCTGGTCTAACCACCGTGTGCTTGGCCCCAGGTGTCGCCAGCGCAGCCTAGCACATGGCGGGCGGATTTCCTGGTGCAGTACACAGGGGAGGGGCATCCGGACAGGGACCCAGCCTGCCCAGCCCTGGGCCCAGGGGTATCGGTGAGTCTGTGCAGGCCGAGCCCATTGCTGCCAGGGCCGGCGGGGGAGCAGTCAGGGCCAGGCCTCCCCTCCCCCCACCTGTGGTGCCATGCAAAGCAGCTGATTTCCCCACAATGTCATTTACAAACCACACTCCCACACTCTCTCGCCTGTTGGCACCCTGCCTGGCCCTGCACAGAACCCCAGCGCCCAGGGTGCCCCCTCAGGCATCTTCCCTCCCCCCTCCGGCCCCCATCACCCCTCCCTCCTCCTTTCCCAGGGCTCGCTAGTCCCTTGTGCCCAGAGCTGGCTCCCAGCCCCTAATACATGGACTGGGGGCCCCGCTGGCTGCAGGATACTGGGGGGAGGGCTTGCACCCCGCAAGGATGGCCTGTCACAGCTCAGCCCAGCTGGCTGTGGGGGCTGGGCCCCCCGCTGTGGAGTGGTGGTCAGAAGGCCGGGGGATGGGATATCAGCGGTAGGCGGGTCCATGGTGAAGGAGGTGTCGGGGACGCAGGGGGACTGGGGCGGTCAGTGGGAGCGGGAGAGGCTGTAACGCGCTGACGGTGATCCCTGGCCCCCAGCAATGCTTCCCCGACTGCGTGTGCGAAGACGCCTTCAACAACACCTACGCCTGCATCCGAGCCCTGCACCCACACAGCCTGCAGTACTGCGAGTTCGCCGACCGCCAGGTGAGCCGGGCGCCCGGCGCTGCAGCCAGCCCTGTGCCCCCGGCCACAGCCCCCTAGGCTGCATGGGCCTGGGCCTGTCCCCCGGGGCGGGAGCCGGGCAGGGCTGGGCCTGTCCCCTGTGGGGGG